CAACTTTTCTCTCTTTTTAAATCTTCGAACACCTCACTGTCACTGGTAACGATTTTGTAGCAGCTATATCTACGACACCGATGGACGAAACGGATCGACGAGGATAACCCGTTGGCCGGGAAATACTCTCGCGTAATGTACACTTTCTTTTTTTTCCCTCCCCTTAAAACTCTCTTTACATCCCTCTTATATCTCTTCTCCGTCTATTTACTTTTTTGACTAATGCACGATTATTAAATGTTTTGCGCTATTTTTCGATACGTTCCCCTCTTCCCCCGTACAAACGGGAGATATACTTTCAGAATACTCGGTTTATCACTTTCTCAAACAAGAAATAGTTTGAGAAACGATGAATGGAAAAAAGAAGAAATATACCTTTCCTTATTTGCCTGACGATGGCACGCAGTCGTTTTCTCTTATCTTACACGTTCCAGAAAAAAAAAACGCTATCTAGATTATTTCTAGACGAGAATATACATATATATATATATATATTTTTTTATCAAATTTATCGATGCACTCGTTCCAATTTATAAAACCGAAATCTATTGATAATCTTTTCCCCCTTGTTGGTATGCTCCTTGAGAATTCGTTCATGATTGTATAACGTGTAAACATGCTTTCCAAAGCGTTTGTTAAACGAATCTACCAATATTCTATCCTACGTAAAAATAATCCTTGCCAATAAATCGGTTGCAACTTCCTAACCATATTTTTTCCATCTCTTCCTCCCGAGCTAATCTCTAACGCATTTACATTTTACATTTATCTTCATCATCGAGAACGAAACGATTCGAAACGATCGAGGCGCATACCACGCCGATTTAAAGTGTTGGTTAACCCAAAAAAGTTGAAAATTTCGAATAGAGTTACTTTGGTAAAAGTTTAAAAGTTTTTCATTCTCGATCAAATTTTCCATTATTCCACTTTAGATTGTTCCAATTTATATTATCGATTTGTGTTCGGGAGTAACTTTATTCGTAAATTTCGATTTAAATTTTGCCCCCTCCCCCCCAACAACCCCTTCTAGCTAAAACGACTACGGTGAGTGTGGAAACGTGGCGTTTCTCAGTCTATGTCGATCACATCCGGATTCTCCGCTGATCCCTTTCGCTGGCGCTTATTCCGGCGCAGCAGGACCGTCCTCAGGATGCTCGGTGATCGTAGACCCGCGACTTCCGGCCGCGGGGCATGCTGCTACGCGGCCTTGTGCCTCTTCCTCTGCTCCCTCCGCGTTTGATTCGACACGCCTGGACTTCCAGATCCTTTCTCGCAATCGGCGGTCGGCAACGGTTTCAACTCCCTGTATATTATAACAACGTTATAATATTTAAAACAAATTTAACGGACAATTATATCTAATTGTTCTCTCCTTCTTTAACCCTTTGCTCTCCAACAGTGACACTCAGTCACCAATGAGATTGTTGCAGCAACTTGAACTGCAATATTTATTTATGTTTGATTCTTTCAGAATATCGCTTCATAAATAGATTTCTAAGCCCTTTACGTATAATCTTATGAGGTGTAATCTTATCATATAGTAATTATCTTATGAGGCCATGAATGCAGGTGAGTCTGGAGTTGTTGGAGAAACAGGTCTGCTCTCCAACAGTGACTCTTGGTCTCCAATGAGATTGTTGCAGCAACTTGAACTGCAATATTTATGTTTGATTCTTTCAGAATATCGCTTCATAAATAGATTTCTAAGCCCTTTATGTATAATCTTATGAGGTGTAATCTTATTATATGAGTAATTATCTTATGAGGTCATGAATGCAGATCTGAATCTGGAGTTGTTGGAGAAACAGGCCTGCTCTCCAACAGTGACTCTTGGTCTCCAATGAGATTGTTACAGCAACTTGAACCGCAATATTTATGTTTGATTCTTTCAAAATATCGCTTCATAAAATAGATTTTTAAGCCCTTTACGTATAATCTTATGAGGGGTATAATTATCATATGAATAATTTTCTTATGGTAATCTTATGAGGCCATGAATGCAGGTCTGAGTCTGGAGTTGTTGGAGAAACAAGTCTGCTCTCCAACAGTGACTCTTGGTCTCCAATGAGATTGTTACAGCAACTTGAACTGCAATATTTATGTTTGATTCTTTCAAAATATCGCTTCATAAAATAGATTTTTAAGCCCTTTACGTATAATCTTATGAGGTGTAATCTTATCATATGAATAATTATCTTATGGTAATCTTATGAGGCCATGAATGCAGGTCTGAGTCTGGAGTTGTTGGAGAAACAAGTCTGCTCTCCAACAGTGACTCTTGGTCTCCAATGAGATTGTTGCAGCAACTTGAACTGCAATATTTATTTATGTTTGATTCTTTCAGAATATCGCTTCATAAATAGATTTCTAAGCCCTTTACGTATAATCTTATGAAGTGTAATTTTATGATAAGATTATATAATTATATAATTATTTTATGGTAATCTTATGAAGCGGGTCTGGAGTGCAAAGGGTTAATTTTCAATGAAAGAAACGAACCTGTAATTGAGGAGTTCCTCGTCGTCGGGCACTCTGGATATGAGGTCGAGGAGCTCGTTATTCGGAACCGAGTGAGGCCTGACGATCTTCCTCGAGAATTTGTTCACGCCCCACGTTAGGATGAGGTATCGAAGGGGGATGAAGTAGAGGACAACGGCGCCCAGGATTGCCAATATCATGGCCAGGTAACTGAGATAAGGGACAGTGAAGTTGAAGAGATTCTTCACCCTTTCGCAGAGGCTCGCTATGTAACCGATCGAGTTTTGCACGGTCTGGGTCACCTCTTGAATCGCTTGCAACCGCTCTTTCAGACTTTTCTTCTCTTCCTGCGAAAAAAATAAGAAGCATCATCATCGAGAATTTTTTTCTTTTTCTTTTCTTTTTGAAGAATACACGATGGAGAATATATTTTGATATTCGATGGTTAGAAGAGAAACGTTTAAAACAGGAAACAGGAAATAACACGAAAAGTTAAAGTTTAATTTTTAATACGGTGACCTCGTTTTGCCGAATTTGATGAATCGAAGAAAATACAACTGAAAGATTCGTGACATTTGTACAGCATGTAATATTCATCGAAAAGGAGTCTTCAGTTATCGATGGCCGAACATCTATAAATTTTGCATTGTTGGAAGTTCGAGTCAAAGTTCGATCAAAATTTCGATTTCTGAAAAAAGAAAAAAATGTTTTTTAAAAAAGCGGTGGAGAATAAACTCACTTTATCCTTGTCGTCGTCGTCGTCGTCGTCGTCCCCTGGAGTGGCTGGACCTTCGTCGATCTCGTCGTGAAAGTGCGAATGGGTGGTGTGATGGGTCAGGGGCGTACCGGTTATCATCGCGACCTGTCCGGAAATCCATTGTTTCAATCCATTTCCATCCCCGTAAAGCTGGCAGGCAGTAAAGGATGTGGACATGCAGCAATGCAGGTAAAAATCAAGCAAGTTGATTTATCGTACATGATAACGCTAAATAATGAAGAAAACTGGAGAAATTTGTGTAATTTTAATTGTGAGAGGTGGCTCTGATGGTAAATCTGATGGAAAAATTCATAGGCAATAAATTTTCAGGTACTGTTGTTATTGAATTAATATGTGCAAAGTGCACAAGGATCACATTCTTCTTGGAGATATGCGTTGCATCTAGTTATGCATTAAATTCCAGGCGATAAAGTTTCATGGGGAGAGCACTTATGTGGCAAGGAAAAAAGCTAAAATTGATTTAACTTTAATGCCTATGCTGAGTACATACCTGTGCAGCTTTAATTTTAGCATTTTTGGCTTTTTAAAAGGGAAATACTAGCTTCTATTGACTAGTATCAGATAAAAATAAGAAATTTAGTGCAAGGTTTATTACTTTGCTGAATGGGATACGTTCTACTGGTCTACAGAATTATATGTTACAAATGTCGTTAAGTAAGAATTCTTATACATTAGATTATATATGTTGCAAGCTCTTTTAAAATTAGCAAATAAAAAAAGTAGGGATCAATGGAAGTAATGGATTAGCAAATACGTAAGATAAATGTGTTAACAAATGTCAATAATTCATAAAGATAGCGATAAATTAGAGAAATAGTTTAAAAAAATATATATATATATATTTCTGATTAATTTATTTACGTACCAGATAGTATTTTAACAAGATAAGGAGTGCTATTCCAGGGAACATGTAAGGCTCAAAATAGTAACAGCCCAAAACAAAGATAACCAGTGCAAAGATGCTTCTCATTTTACTTTCCCATTCCCAGCAGCTCCTAATAATTTGAAGAGAGAGAAAAAAAAAAAAAAAAAAAAAAAAAAAAAAAAAA